GCGCGCACGGCGATAGCAAAAAAGGCTGTTGCGCTGCTGCCGAAGCCGGCCAGAGCTGATTGCGGTCGGAACTCTTGAATCCAGACTTGAGCGTTCTGGAATGCCGCAACGGAACTTTCTTAAAAACAGAGCAGAAGAGATACAGTAAAAGAGTGAAACGAAGCTACACGCCCAAGCAGCCTGAAGCTTGCCTTCAGGTTCTTCGAGACGCTGCAAAGGATGGAGCCGGGCTCGGGCTTGCTTTGACTGTTCAAAGCATGCTACATGCTGCTCGAAGCCCTTGGCACTGCTTTGTGTCTCCGTCTCCCTACGACTGAAGGTCTTTCTTTTGCGGACACGGTGTTGGAAGGATATCCGTTGGGGCTGCTGGAAGGGGCCTAATCTGACCCACTGCTGCAGCAGTTTTTCCCAGCGGCGTGCTGCCGCTGCAGTGCAAAGCAGCCTGAGCGTCTCATGCCTGGCTGGAAATCCAAGGTTTGCCAGCTAGATGTTGAATTCACGAGCTCGGTCAGGCTTGCAGTTTCAGCGCAGTACCGGTAGAATACCAACTGGTACTTGTATTTCGAGATCTGTGGGCTCAGCAAAATTCTCGGGCGCAGTCTCCGTTTACACACTTTTCTGCCTTGAACAGGTATGAAGCTCCACTTGGTGGGTTGTTGTGGTCTTTGGATCAAGCTGCGCTTGTCCAGGAATATTTCATGCTAGACCCTTGTTTGTCACCTCCTGTAGATATGGCAGTGAGATGGTCTGAAGGATTTTTGGCAAGGGGATCTAGGCAGCTAGGTTGTACATTGTAAATGGTATGGACGGCATTGAACTGCTGGCGCGTGCCAGCAGCCATGACTCTGAGCGGACGAAGCTCCTCAAGCAGGTCTGGTGCCTCCCTACCTTGAAACTTGAATGGAAAGAGCACATGCCGCCGGAAGGTGCTGCTGTCCTCCTCCAAGCTTCACCGCGAGCTCCGCGTGACGTTGGGCACCCCGGCCCCTAAAGCCAGCAAGTTTGGCTCTTTCGTGCCAAGCACCGAAAAGCTCAGAAAGCAGAAGGAGACTCAAAGGGCCAGCTTTGGATAAGATATACTTTCCACATTTTCGACCTGCTCCAGTCATTGTGCCTTGCAGGAGCTACAGGCTGCAAGCCCTTCTGCAGCGTCTTTGAAGGAAAAGCTTCAGCTCTGTGCGCAAGGAGTGGCTTGTTGCTGAATGCTTGCATTGGTCATGGAGCAAATGTGAATCTAGCCTGAGAAGCGGAAGGTGATTCCGACGTTTGTGAAACAATGACGCCGGGACGAGAGCTCTCGCCGGTTCTCAAATCCTGTGGAGCAAGAATCGGAAGTCTGTCAGATCGGCTTTTTACAGCAGAGGCCAGGTTCTTTCTGCACGTGCAGAGATTGAATGCAGCACAGGTTGCGCATCCTCTGAAGTGCCAACACAAGAAGTAACAAGCCGTGCCTGTCGTATGCTAGGGCCAGCTTGTGCTTCGTGGAGGGGCGTTGCCACCACGGGAGGACAGGGACATGGGGTCCGCATCCAGCGCTCCTCGCAAGCAACCTCCAAGGAGGAGGAGACCCATTTGATTGAAATCGTTCCTCGGGGCCAGCAGGCCTGGAGCATGTGAGATTGTCTGAGAATGTGGCCTTAAAACGGTTTATCTTGAGTGCTAGGCGTCAGCAGCAACTCGGCATAAAGCTGAAGCTGCCGCAGAGCGCGCGCTGCAGCAGCATGCGCGTTTTGCAGCCTTGGAGGCTGCGTAAGTAGAGCCCAAATTGTTGGATCGCTGTGTGTCGGGATAGGATCTGCAGCAGACACTGCAGACCCGCTTCTCCTACGAGGATTTGCCGCAGACCAAGTGTTGCAACCCCTTTCCCTTCGTTCTATGTTTCCATGGCCTTCTTCAACAGTCAATCGTGCTTTGGTGGAAAGACTCTTGACCATAGGGAGGAGGGGAGAGAAGAGTGAATTCGTTTGAGATCATATTCGAGTCCTTCATGCGATGTCTACAATGCTTTCTTTGCTCACCTAAGTGCCAGGGACTCATTGGTTATACAGTCATACCATGTTATACTAGCAAGGCGAGAGGACAGTCAGTTGATCCGGCATAGAAGTGCGTCTCAAAAACAGCCTGACACTTTGCTGAGGCGGCAGTCCTTTCCGCGCAGGTCGCGCTGGAATCCAAACCTGTACCTGCTGACCGATGAGACCTTGAAGAACCCAGCAGAGTTCAAGGTTTGCTCAGCACACATTTTTTCAAATTTAAATTTCTGTGATCTAGCAGTGCCGGCAGTTGCGAGGAAGCTGTCTGGCGCAAGCTTCCCAAGGCTGGCCTGCAGGGTGTCTTTTACCGGGGGTTTGCTTGTGTTCAGTTGAGACCGCCTGTGTCGTGCAGGAGGCCGAAGAGGATGCTCCTCGAGGGGCCATTCGGTGGCGAAGGCGTGAAATCTAGAAGAAGCGGGCTTTGTGACTTCACAGATTGCTGAAGGACCGTGGCCGGAGCACCTGGTAGGCCCAGCATGATGAAAACGTCCAGTGACTTGGGTGCCAAGGCCTGCTGCCCCAAAAAGCTTTCTTCACCGCATTCTGCATCTGGAAATCACAGGCCTCCAATGGAAAGCCAAGCGTGCGGGCATCTGTTCTGTGACATTTCTGCCTTCCGGTCTGCTGTTTCTCAGCAGCTTTGTAGGTGACGACCTCATGGTCGTCCAACTGCTCGGCCAAGCATGTACAGTTTATGTCTGCCTAGGAACTACTGTCCGCACCGGTATGCTTAAGTCCAGAAGTGCAACAAACTTGCACAGCAGTTCAAGGATATAAATGTCGATGCCGCTCGGAGCTTCTGACAATGCATCTTTACATTGTTTTTTGGTGCTGCTGCCTTAATTGCGTTCAGCAAGTTTCACATGGTACGTGACTCGAACTCTTCCAGCGGTCGAAGACACTGGATGCTGCAGGGCACTACGATTGCATTAGCAAGGTGCCTCATGTCCGAGCAAAAGGAACGGCTGTCTCTTTCCTCACCTGGCTGACTCCAAGAGAGAGTGCCTGTGATGGAGTTCTCCATGCTTCCCTGCTTCTCTCCCAACAGCAACCGTGGCTCATTTAGAGCAGTCCAGCGGGCGTTGGGGTATTTGAACCGGCTAACTTCATGGGTCGGCATCCCATTTCTACCACCGTTTGATTTTGCGGAGACAGTTCGATTGCCCACTGCAAAAGGTCAGATGAGCCGCTTGAGCAGGAACAGCGCAGAGGCCATTTCGCCGAGAAAAGAGAGCCTCTAATGGCTCCATCACGAGTACATTGGTCAACTGCCAGTGCCAGGCCCCAATGTCGAAGGAGAAGCAAACCCTTTTTGTGGGTTCCTCATTTTGCCTACAGCCCCCGTGGTCCTCCTGTCCAAGGCATTAGCATATACAGTGTGCACTGGTATGTGTTCGACTTTTGTTTGGAGCATGGTCTTTTTGAGGTCGGACAGTTCCGCAAGACCAAGATGTGCCGATTTCACGAGACAGGCGTGCCTACATGCGCTGCAACGTTTCATCACGTGTGCAGCGCTTCGCCAGTCTGCTCCATTAGAGAGATTCTTTGGTGATTTCTGAGTTTGTAAGAGGTAGCTTAAGAGTATGCGAGGGCGCTGCCGCTATGGAGAACAATGCCCCTTCGCACATGACCCTTCCGAACTCGAGGAGTGCGTCATCCTCACATACAAACTCTCGTGTTGACTCAGTGTTGACCTTCTGCTTCGATCGGTGCACGGGATGTTTGCTGCGATGGATGTAGTCATCTCCTCAGTTTGTTCTGGCGTATTTGTAGAGAGCAGGGTACTAGAACTAGTGGGTGTATTTGAAGGCTTACCAGGTCATGTGAGAACGTCAACAAAAACATGGTCAGAGGGACATCCGCTGCTCGAACGGGAGTTGCTGGCCTGTCACGGTGCATGCTTCGAAAGAAAGGAGAAGCTTTGGAGTAGCAGTCCGCAGGAGTTACCGGATCTTCGCAAGACCTCGATATGCAAGTCTTGGCCTAAGAATATGTCCGAGCTCTTGTCTGAGCTCTTTGGTGGACGCATACTTCGAAACAGTATGCATTTTTTCAGCTTAGGAACTGGCAGCAAGGTTGCTGCGCCTACTCCGCTGAACAATGCTCGTTCGCTCATGGCAAAGCAGTGACCTCGTGCCAGCCGTCTGGGTTTTTCGTGAAAGGCGGACCCAGCATGACCCAATGTTTCTTGAGGAAGAGCTGCGCAAGACGCCTCCATTCGGTCGGAAGAAATCTGGTCAGGCTGACAATGTGTGGAAGTGCTCTTCAATCCATGGATTCGGCAAACTTTGTACACGTCGGGCAGGGCGAGTCTTTTGTCCGCAAGGACAGCTTCGAAGGCTCAGGCACAGCAGCAGCTGCAGACTAGGAAGACATGTTGGGCAGTTCTGCCTGTCAGGCAGCGATGCATATGCCTCAACATCGGACGGATATCGCAGTGGATCTGGATATTTCGACATTGACAGGCGAGCCTCCCATTCTGTGCAGCTCAAGAGACTTGCCAGCCTTGTTGTAGCTCATGATGTGCCTTAGCCCCGTAGCAGGCAGTCATCTTCAAGCTTCGACGAAGAGCCCGCAAGTCCCACAAGGACAGACAGCCCTGTTTTACTATCAAGCTCCTGCTGAGTTTCCGGTAGCTGGACACAGTCTGAAAGAGAACTGTGCGCTGCGTAAACGGTGAATCCTGCTGCCTGTCCTCGAAGCATATAAACATTTTTCTGCTTCCGGATGCAACGAGCTGATGTATCGTGTTTGCAGTGAGCTGATGTATCGTGTTTGCAGTAAAGTGGAACGAAAAGGGGACTGGGTCTTGTGCTAAGCGAGCTCTCTGTAGGAATCAGCTTATGAAAGATGTACCTTGATTACGGCATTGTACACAGCCCTGCATGGATGGTACGCCGCTTGTCCTTGACAATGGCTCCGGGTCTGTCAAGGCTGCGCACACTGAGCTCTTATTGCATTGGCCTTGAGACGTCACGATTTCGGTTTCTACTGGCTATCAGGTGGGCTATGCAGGAGAACTTGAGCCCAAGGCAAGGTCCAGTCTAGGTAGGGAGGCCTTTGTTCCCAGGGCACCCGAGTCTAGGGTGGGTGGAAGAATGGGTTCCCATCCAGGTGGTCTATGAGAATATCTACACGGCCTTGAGAGCCTCCCGCCACGAGCCCTCGAAGGCAAAAAGAATCTCTAAAGTGACAACATGTCACATGTGCCAGACATGCTTGTTGTGATTCCGCGAGGCAGCGGCAGAAGCGCTGCAGAGAAGCAATGCCAGGCAGCGTCCTAAGCACTTTCTAAGCACTTCCTAAGCAATGATGTCGGAGGCTGCATGTGATGGACCACGGCATCGTGTCTCAGTCTGTCACCTACAAGGCTGTCAGGCCGTGCTAAAAGCCATAGCCACAAGCAGTTCTAGCGCACAAGTGGGGTTGATGGCATAGATACGTTGAGGGGTTGCACCCAGAAGCGGGTAGCGCAGTTGTGGAAGCGCTGCCCACACCCCACTGCGGCCAGCTCACTTTTCTATGGTGGCACCTGCAAAACCCGTCAAACCGAGCTGTTGTTGGGGCCCATTCATTTCGCTCCTGTTTATCGTTTGAGGGTTGGTCTGTTGTTTTATAGAGCAAGTTCGCAATGCAGGGTTCTATATGTTCTATGGTTGTTTTATGTTTTATGTCTGCGCGGAAGATGTGCAAAAGGTCGGCGAAAGGTTTCGATTTAGGGTTTATCCTTTGATTGCCGACCGCGGCGCACGCTTCACACTCGTTGAACAAGGCTCCCCCACACATTGCGCTTTAGCCTTGTCTGAATGATGATGTTGCCTGTGAACGAAATCAACATTATCCAAAATTAGAGTTCAAGTGTACGCGGCCCTCATGAGACTTCCCAGACCACTCGTGGATTCTTAAACATCGTGAAATACCGTAATAGTGATATGACAGAGCGGGGGATATAAAGCTTTCGCTCGTGATGCCGAAGCGCTGAGCGCTCCCAGCCATCACTGTCTAATGTAGAAGCCCCAAGACGCGGCTTGACGGGTCCTGAATAATGAAGGAGAGTGTTTCATCATGTTTAAGCTCGCCAGGCCAGAAGGGGAGGGAGGTAGGGGTGAAGGGGTGAATGGGATTTTCAATACGCGAAAACTGTCGTTGTCATTTGTGAAATTGCTGGCCAGGAGGGGCAGGCTGGGAAGGGGGGAAGGGGGATGGGCGGTCTCCTGAAAAAACTTGTCCATTTTTACATCAGAAGATGCGGGGCGGAGAATTGCAGGTCAGGCTGGATTGGAACGCCCAGGACTCTTCTTCCCCGCTCTACCTCCCCTCCTCTGTAAATTGTTGTTATGAAATGCGATTCTGCCCGCTCAACCCAACCTGACTCCCCGAGAGCTTCAAAACGCATCAAAACGCTGCACAAATCTTCTCAAGGAACTCCCCCCGCCATTCGCCCTCCCCCTCTCCCTCAGAGCACTGAGAAAGCGGGAGAAGAACCATCAGAACTCAACGCGAAAATTTGCCATTCACTAGGGTCAGCACGATGGGACAGCTGTGAAGTGTGGCTCGCTTGTTTTTTTGTTTGATCTCTGAGGTGGGAGGGTCTTGTGGAAGTGCTCCAGGCGGCCCTCGAGGAAATGAAGGCTCCCACTCTACAGCTTTTGGCGAATGCCAACCTCGCACATTAATGCAGGTTGACGATCCATCTCAGCATCCTTGCCTAGTTACCGAGGCAACAAACGGTACTTTGTATCACCCATTCACATGATGATGAGCACTTAGATGAGCAGAATCATCATCAGAGGCGCCTTTGAATCCAACAGTTCATCGAGAACTCTTGGCTGCTCTCCTCAGCGGACTCTTGTCAACAGGACGTCATGAGCTGCAGATAATCGCCGTGCTGCCTTCCAGGTTGAGAAGCTCTTTGAAGAAATGCAAGTGCCTTCTGTCCAGGCCTTGACTGTATGTTGTGGGAAAGGGCTGAGCTGCTAAGAGCTGCACTGTCCATATGTGGTACACATCTCCATCCTTTTCATGCAAGGCATAGTCCTCAGATTGCAGCGGATGTGTTTGCATATGCACAGGTGGCACACTCAGGGCCGCTTGCACTCTATGCGACGGGAAGGCGTGCCGGTCCCGGGCAGCTGCGTAAGCTCTGCAACTTCCAACCATGGACGTCTCGGCATGGGGTCGATGACTTCCCAGCTTTGCTGAGGGACCGGCCTTGTTGTGGAAGTTGGCGATGGTGTAGCTCAGACAGTTCAGCACTCGAAATCCAAAGGGACGACAAGCTTGTTCTGGTATTTTGCGGCGCCTAAGGTTCCCCTGTATGATAGCTACGTCATCTTCAATGCAGTCCGGCGACGAGATTATGGCGGACGGGACTTGACTGTCTTAGGCTGAGCAAGTCTTGCTTAGCTGTGAAGTTGGTGTTCCAGAAGTTCAAGGCTTACCTCGGCGAGCTCCTTTCAAGGGAGCTTGGATACAAGGAAGCGCTGGCCAATGAGGTGTGCCGCCCTGGATCAATTTTGAAGGACTTGAACGCCGTGCTGGTCATCAGGTATGGTGGACACAGCTCCAGACTGTGAAGGAGCCAGCAATGCGATTCGCATATGGCTGAGTGGCTGAACTTCGACTTGAGTGAGGAGCGAATGTGTCGAGTCGCCACTCCACAAAGCTTGCCCACATCGGAGGTACGTAGCTGAGACAGCTTTGTCACATGACGGTACAAGTGCAGCAAGATTCCGCATACATGTAGCGTCGTGAAGCCTAGTTGGTTTGGCATTCCGCGCACAGGGGCCTAAGCAGCATGAGTACAAGCTGCCGGATGGCAAGGCTGGACGCGTAGACACGGGATCCAGTAAATGTAGTTTGCAGTTGTTCTGCAGCTGTATGGACCTTGATTCGCATTGCAGTCAGATGACGATGTTGTTGTTGTCGTTGTCCCGCAGGTTCTGGACTGGGAACAGGGACTTCTGTCACAGTGCACTGAGGCCCACTCACGCTGCATGCCATTCCCAGCAAGTAGACCAGTGATGAACCAGGCTTTGTTCCAGCCTGGCCAGCACTTGAAATTGGACGAGGACAGCTAACTTCGCTTGCTTGATCCGCTTGCGGAATCGGCATGAATCGCAGCCTTGCGGCTTTGGCCCTGGCAATTGCAAGTCTTTCTTGCGGTGAGCCCAGCTCCCACCGTGCGGTTGGCTCGGAGGCCTTTGCTAGCTCCCGAAAAACCGATCTGATGCCCCTTGCCCATAGACTAGAAATAGGCGTGTTTCAAGGCCGCAGCAGAGCAGCCTCCGAGACCACAGAAAGCCTGAAAGGAAATGCAATATCGGAGCCACGATTCAGAGCGTGGAGGCTAACATGAACACATGACACGAAGAATCGACACGAGCCTGACCAGCCAAGCCTTGTGATTCTTGACATTCTTTGGGACACGAGCCAGGTATCTCAACCCGACCACCGCAAACGCAAGTCTGACGGATTCATGTTTACATCCGACCCCAGGCCCCCAACGCTTGAAGCGAACCTTCTATTGCACACTTGAGAAAAGCCCTGAGCCGTTGCATGCATTGGGCCTGTCCCGAGACCTGGCAGAGAACTTCAAAGGACAGGGGCTTGCCAGGCCTCTAGCCGCAGCGCTCCGTAGCGCTCCGTAGCGCTCACATCTTATTCCGGCGAGAACGATTTCTGCTAGGCACCTCCTTCCAAGAAGCCTTCCCGGCCTTTCCCTGAAAAAGTGCTTCTTCCGGATCCCCATCAGCCTGTCCCTGGAGCATCCGGCACTGGGTTTGGTATTCGGGTCAGCCCTAGGGAAGACTGGGGATAGTGGGGCGAGGTAAGGCTTTTTGTTCTAGGGACAATGCTTCGGCAGATTTTAGATTTTACATCAGTTCGCTTGGACTGAGCCTTGAAGAAGAACGGCCAAGTCCTGACAGGAGGCTGAGGGCATCCAAAAGATGGCGGCGGGCAGCATTTTGGATTGTAGTCCAGCGTCTCAGATCATCTGGATTTGGGAGCATGCCGTCGGCAAGTTCCGAAATCTGTCAGCTCAGGTCTTGACATCCAGAAAGACTTGGCAGGCAATGTCGCATCTACCTCAGGAGTCTTTATGAGTGGAGGGGTGATGATGATGGGGGTGGCGTGTGGCTGTGTATAGTTGAGCCCGCACTGAAGTCAGGTTCTTTCTGGTGGCTCGACAATGTTTCCTGGAATGTGTGAGCGTGTTCAGGAGGACTTCGCAATGTCAGCAGTCTTAAAGTTTGAAGGATTATGGAAGAAACTGCAGACAGGAGTTGCAGCGCTTGCTTCCATCAGCCGTGAAGGCCAAAGTGACACGCGTGGGCAACCCTACGAACCTCGGCTGTTGTATGCTATTGTTCTCTTGTTCTCGCGGTTTTAAATTGCGTCCAAGGCGTAATGATATCTTCAGGTGTGCAGCTTTCATTGGTGGCTCCATCCTGGCTTCAATGCCAGATGTGCGGAAGAGTTTCATGACCAAGGGGGAGCGCCGACCCCAGTTTATCAGCCTTTTCTGTCAGCCAGTATCTACAGCGGACCTTTCATAACATGCTGAGAGGAGCTCTTTGCTCAATAGAAGACCTGAGCTGCAGGTACATGGAGTATGGCGCTGCGTTCATCCATAACAAGAGTGTCAGTCTAACGAAACCATATTTGACGTGCTGAAGTCAGGCACTTGATATATATATATACATATATATATATACATATATCAATGTCGTAGGATGTTGTTGGCGCTGCAGCGCAGCAGACGCAAAATGTTTAATTTGTAAAGGATGGGCTGACTGCTTGATCCAATAATTAGATTATGAGAGGCACGTGCAGGATAATTCGGTGCCGAGTGTTTAAAGACATGATGAGCGATGCGGAGCCTGTTGTCTATACCTGAACTGGCACACGGCTACGGACAATGCATATTTTGTTGCCACCATGATGTTTGTGCGTTGCCTTGGCTCTGTAAGTTCGTGGGGCGCCTGCTTCTCTTGGGCAGCAAAGCTTCCAAGAGAGCAAGCTCTGTTCTGCAGCAGCTGGGGGTGAGGTTGCTAGCGCGAAATCAGGATTGGCTTGAAATCGGAAGGTGGACCTTGAAAGCTTTTCAAAACCTTGTTTGAAGAAGCCATGGCAGGCAGCAGCTTCTCTGGGACCCACTTGGCCTCGTGGCCGAGGACCGCGATTCAACGATTGCCATGCAGAGCCACTCATTCTTCATGCCTCATGATGACCTGCCCCAGGCTCCAGCAAGCTGCGTGCCAAAGGAGTGAAGCTTAGATTTGAGTCTTTTTCGATGTGAAGCTTCCGTTGAAATTGCGGCAGAGCGCTGCCCAGTACTTCAAGACGGAACCAGACACCGAGCCGAGCTGGCGAGGAGGTGCTGAAGCAAGCCTTTCAATGGTGCATTCAGATCTTTTCCATAGGGTGCTTGTATGAGCTGTGCCAGGTCCCTCTCAGCAGATAGCTGATGGAAACTGTGTGCCATTAAGGAGCTTCGAAGAGATTATGCACAAGTTGACGTGCTGACCCAACTGAAGAATAATTGGGACCAGAAACTGAAAATCACAAATGTTGTGGAGGCTTTGTGCGAGGCGAGAAGAGAGAAAGATGACTGTGCTGTTTAGTGGTCATGTAGCATGAGGGTTAGGAGTTCTCGATCGACTGGGAGCGTAAATTCAATCGCTAACGCGAGACCGCCTCGGCAAGCCCCGCCTCCTCCCCCCCTCCCCCCTGACTTTCTCACTATCTCACGCCACTTACATTTTGCGCGTGACATTCAATGCAATAAACGATAAGAATGTAGAAACGCCGCTCATTGTCATACATGAGCTCAAACGAAACCCCATCCTCACCCCGGGCTCCTCCCTGCTCCCCCTCCCTCCTCTCCTCCCCCTACTCCTCCGCCCCTCGTTCCCCCCCGTTCTGACCACCCCAGATCGCGAGGGTTAACTTTCTCTCCTAGTCTCCGGACCTGGATCTAAACGCCCCGGGCCTTCGGCCTCAGTGGATTCGATGAAAGGGTGCAAGGTCGAAACAGGCCGGAAGGCATATGGTTGTCCGAATCCTTGGTGTGCATCAGTGAGACCGTTTGTTGTCATGATAGGGTATGACGATGCAGGATGCAAGCAAACTTTCGAATCATTACAATTTTCCAATCCAGGTCGAGACGTGGGGACTGGATTTTGACCTCAGTTCTGGGAGGGGGGGCAACACGGACAGCAAGCAGTATACAGGAGGGAGAAACAGACAAAGAAGAAGTAACCATTTTGGTCCTATGCATTCCAGCGAGAGAGGGGATGCACCCCTTACAGCTGTTTTGCATCAGGGCCGTGTGTGCAGTGGAGCTGACACAAAGATGCAAAGTCATAGAGCACATGCCCAAGTAAAGCCCCGACTGCTGGAACCCAGATAATGGCCATGAACGACAAGATTCATTTCAGGAATGATGACCCCTCGAAATAAGCAAGAACTTGTTGCGGTAATCTAGGCTCTTGACTCTTGATGCACCATGTACCCCAGGGCCATCAGGGAGGCAATTTCCCGAAGCTGGAGCAAGCAAGCCCCAAGGTAATGCATGGACTCTGGATTTAGGCATCCAACCTACGTAGTTACAGTTATGCCGTTGCTTGGAACAGTTATTACACTGATGGGGGTGAAGCTCGACTGGTTCCCTTCAGTGGTGTGCAGCTCAACAAACTTTGTGCTTAATTGAAGCGGTCACGTAGTCACGCATCATATTCTGTCATTTTGGGATCATGCATGTTTGCCGCACAAAAGTCTTGGCACCTTAGCGAAGCGACAATCTGTGTCTGCCCGGGATTATACGTCTCGATTGTACTCAATACCCTGGTCTCAGCAAGTGTCCTTATGCGGGGCGCTTACCGGTGCGGATGTTGGATGTCTTGTTTGTTGGTGTGATGCAAGAGAGTGCAAGCAAGTAGGATCCCATGATTGCCAGCAGAGCAACGAGGGGTTCACATTTGGGTGGAGCATTTTTTCAGGGGACGAGATACACTAACCGCTGGTGCATGACGACCCACGCTGGGTGTGTGTGCTCTCTCTCACGCCAGTTCCTAGGTCAGAGCCCCTGATGTTTAGGCTGAAGGGTTACTGATCTGCGGGTGTATGGGGTTTGGCCGAACTGGCTTGTGAGCGTCACAGCTGTCTGGAGAAGCGGTGAGGTCCATACTAGAGCATGAGTGGGTGTTGTTAATGATTCTCAGCTGGTGAGACGGTGAGACTTATGCTCTGTATGTTCGGCAGACGGGGCCTCGACAGGACCGACCTCGTGACCAGCAGACCGTTCCTGCTTGCATTGCTCCGACCCTCCTCCTAAAAAGGGGGTATAGCAGTGAGAAGAAGAGGAAGTAACCATTTTGGCTCAGTCCCCTGCCTGCCGTTCTCTCGTGAGAGGTGAGGGGAGAGGAGGGGAGGGGAGTGAAGAAGAGGGGAGAGCAGAGGAGAGGGGGAGGGAGGGAGAGGGGGAGCCGGAGGGGCGGCAGAGGAGAGGAGAGGGACGGGTGGGGAGGGTAGAGGAGACAAGAGGAGAGAGCGATGGCCCGTAAAGAGACTCGTCAGGACTGGATTCGACATGGTTGCCATTCCCAACATGATCAGCTGCAGGGATCCAATTTGACCAATTCAACAACGTGTTGCATCAATCTGTTTTGCTGCAAGGCATTTGGTGCTTTGGTTCCCTAAAGAAGTCCAGGTATGCCCCGGCCCGATTCGCAGGGATGTCTGATCGAAAGTGGCATGGTGCCGTTCCCAGTTCAAGATTCTTGCGCGATTTTGCGGATTGTCATAATAGCAACTTTTGGAGCAAGTGTGGCGATGAAGCCGCATCTGTGGTTACACATGCGTAGTACCCGCAGTGATTTATTGTGCAATTAATGCAGCTCTTCATGACAAGCTCTGGCTGTAAGATGCTGCCTGCGCTTACGGTCACAACTGGCCTGCTCCAGGTCCCTGCAATGCCTGGTCACTTCGTGCTGATGCCGGCAATGCAGGCAGTGCCGCAGCCTGCGGGGGGCCTACACGACGCAAACACGAAGCTTCTAACATCTTCGTCCTTGTTTAGATGGTCTTCGCTTTGAGGTCATGTGGGAAGGAAGTGCCCCGTACCAGCCGTCTGGCAAGGAGCTCGAGGAGATGCTCAGGAAGGCGGTTCCCACCACCTCACGGGCTCCCGCTCCGTTTGAGTAACGGGAGGCGATGCCAACGCACTATGACGACTAAGAGGATGGCATCAGGGTCGCCCAAGGTGCCAGCAGCACAAAGGGGTTGCAAGATGGCATTCGCTTGAAGCCTTCAGTGTGATGTCTGCAGGCTGATGGCGTTGGAGGGTGGCCATGGACTGGCTGGACTGGGCAGTGGCCATAATTTTTCCCTTCTGATTGTTTCACAGGTGCGTGACGTAGATGTTCCACTGATTGTGGGAAGAGGGCAGGTCCATCTTCAGAGATGACGTTGACACATTTTTGTAGTCACCACTGCCGCATGGGTTTGCTACATTAGACTCTCATCTGCTCCTTTGCGGCTTTGTGTCCAGATGGAGTAGACCTGCCGTGATTATATTTTACCGATTTTTTAGGAAACAGCATCGACTCGAAGCGATGAGGCAACAGCAGAAGTTGTTAGGTTGCGTGAGTGCTGGCCAGTTCTGCCAATGGTGTTGCGCCAGAGCAATCGCGTATCATGTTCCAGCCCCTGGTTGACACATGGTAAGCTAGGCAAAGAAAAAAATGTACTGCCAGGCTTGTCTCTTGTGAACTTGTGTCAAACCAGCGGCTTCCTTCGCTTCCCTTTGGCGTGCGACGAGCACGCATGTCTGTTGTGGCCTTTATCAGTCGCAAGTTCCATTGGGCACTTGTAGGAGCTTGTGGGCCATACTAATTAACCCAACTCAGGTTTGGCAATCTTCCATTCAGAAGACTGCTCCTATGCCCAAAGGAAGAGCGACGCCATAGTCGAAGCGCGCTGAAGTCGTAGTAACTCTAGAAAGAGATAGAAGCCGTTTGTCAGTACAGGCGCTGAGACTACATCGCTCGAGTCTATGAGTCAATGACGCAGAGGACGTGCCATCCCTAACGCAAATTACTTTAATTGACATTTGCTTACTTACAGTCCTCTGCTGCTGGCTTGATATCCTCACACTGTTAGGAAGGGTAGATGTCAGCACAAGATCAGGCAGTCGACAGGATGTTCTCGTAGACGAATTCGGAAGATCATTAGGCAGACGAAGCTGATACCTACCAGCGTGATTAGCTCGCCATTTGCGACTGTCCCACAAAGGGCAGGTCTGCTAAATCAGGGAGCACACCGTGGCCCTGCTTGCAGCGGTGCCTTGGTCCAGATTCAGCATTTTCGTCCTTGAGCAGGGGATGGAGAAATGCATAGACCATGCTGGAAGTCTCGCTGTAAAGGGCTCGTCTACTCAGCTGATCTTAGCTGTATCGTTATGGGATGTTGAGAGTGCTACCGAGAGCTCCTGTGTCCTACACACAGGTCGTCCTTTGAGGCTGTGGTGAGCCTCAATTCCTTTTTGTTGAGGTAGCCCGCTGCCGCCTCTATAGCGTTTCCCTCTTGGCATGACTTGTATGTTCCAAATGATGCATTCGCCATCTTCAGTTCGGTGTCGTCAGCTTGACCTTGCGTCATCTTCCTGCAGCTGG